TTAAGTGGTTCTAAATCTGCTTATGTTAGTTCTCATTAATGTATATTCTTAGCCTACATATTATATAAACAAATAAGAATCTGAATGTGAAATATGAATATGAATTTGAAAAATAATAATTTCTAGAAAACTAGTTGAATACATTGTAAAGATTCAGTAAGGATAAATCACTATAAGCATGTGCTGTTGGATTAAGTATGAGCAAGACAACTACAAAAAAAAAGGATATGAATTCTAGAAAATGTGAATATTTCACAAGTTTCTCTGCATTTGCGCTCCACCATAAAGAAACCCCAAATGGAAATTACAAGCAACGCAGTCTGGCAGTGATTTATACGAGAAAGGCCACTAAACTCCTATTAGTGTAGCTAGATTAAGGAAAAGGCCTTGGCCCTACATCAAAAGACTGGCAAATGAATGGATATTTATGTGTATTAAACTAAAATGCATACATTTTCTTTTTTTTTAAATGACTCCTTCTGACATTTTTGATTTACAAATCTTGTCAGGTAAGAGATAATTTTGTAAAGACAGAATTTTGAAACAGAGAAAATGAATGTTTTTCAAACATGCATGGAACCATCATAAAAATTAGGAAAAGAAACCTTTCAACAAACACCTTGCAGGCATCACACTGTACAAGATGGAACTCCTAGACAGAAAGGCCAGCCAGGGAGAATGGGTGCGGCCCCAGAAGCTCCTTGGCAACCTCCGGGGAGGTGTGTCTGGGCCACAGGTTAGCTAGTCAGCTCCCTGCCAGGAAACCTAGAAAAAGCTTGTGATCATCTAGTGATCTGGTTTGTATCTCTACAAGTTTAGATTACATTGGCCACATTCTCTGTCCACAGGCTATAAAATTAAAAGTCACAATAGAAGGGGCACGGGGGAGTCATTTAGAATTTTTAAAAAGGATCTAAATAACCCAGAGAGAAAAAACAAACATAAAAATACAGACCATTTATTAAAAGGAAGAATGGTGAGGACACTACATGTCAAAACCCAGGAATTACCTTCCACCTCCAGTCAAGATGAAGTAACAAGGACTGGATTTACCCTCCTGCCCGAAACAACCAATACATAAAAAAAAAAAAAAAAAACACAAAACAAGACCATGGACACCAGCTAGAAAGGACAGTGATCCTGAGAAGCAGGAGACAAATGAGGTGAGCTTGCTTCTCAGGGCGGGCGGGGGGGGGGGGGGAGTGGTGGAGGGGGGAACTTCCTGCAGTGTGGTTGGGGGCAGGGTGGGCAGAGCCTAGCAAACTCCATGGGATGGGGAGCTTAGAGAGAGAGGGGACACCAAGGCAGTTAGAATGTCCAGTACACAGGACTGAAGAGAATTAAGCTGCCCAGGAGAAAACTCTCAGAGATCTGCAAGTTTCCTCCAGTATTCTCGAGAGTAACAGGCAGCATATAGGTTTGAAGAAACTATCAAAGGCTGAGGAAAGAATTGTCTCAAAGAATCAGAGGAGCTGCTACTAGCACTCACATAGGACCAGGATCAGTATCTGTTCCCACTAGTCAGACTGGAAGTCTCGTAATTCGTGAGGCACCTGTTACAGCCTTCAAGTCTTCTGCCTCAGTAATGGGGTGAGTTAATCCTAAATAGTTCTCAAATTCTGCCTCATAAACTTTATATCATATCCTGGATACAACGGTTTACATGTATGTGTGTTCCAGAACAAAGCTCAAGAATATTTATAGAAATGCAAACTATCGGGCAGCCCGGGTGGCTCAGCGGTTTAACGCCGCCTTCAGGCCAGGGCCTGATCCTGGAGATCCAGGATCGAGTCCCATGTCGGGCTTCCTGCATGGAAGCCTGCTGTTTCATCTGCCTGTGTGTCTCTGCCTCTCTCTGTGTGTCTCTCATGAATAAATAAATAGAATCTTAAAAAAAAAGAAATGCAAACTATCAAGCATCCAATATGAATAAGATTCATATTGCCTAGCATTCAATCAAAATGACAAGGCATGCAAAGAAGCAGGAAAGTATATCCAATAATGAGAGTGAATCAACAGAAACCAACTGAGAACTGACACAAATATTAGAATTAGCACACAAGGACATTAAAAATTACTATAATTTTATTCTATTTGTTGAAAATTTTAAGTAAATATGGGGAAGATACAAAAAAATCCAAGTCATGTGTTAATTAAGGTGTGTGTAGGGGGGAGCACCCTCTCACAAGTATATCAAATCATGTTGTATACTTTAAATAGCTTATAATTTTGTCAACTCTACCTCAATAGAGCTGAAGAAAAAAGAGTAAAAGAAGAAAATGTTTGATGTAAATCAAACTTCTAGAGAGAAAAATAATGTCTAAGACGAAGATTATATTGGAATTGCTGACTAGACATTGCAGAAAAAGAAAAGTGGGCTTGAAGACTTCATAATACAACTATCCAAAATGAAACACAGAGAGAAAAAATAATTTAAAAAATGAACAGAACACCAGTGAGCGATAGGATAAAAATACATCAGGGGTCTCATATAAGTGTAGTTGGAGTTTCCAAAGAGAAAAGTTAGGACAAAATGTTTTGAGGGTTTTTTTTTTTTGAATAATGGCCAAATTTTTTCCAATTTTGATAAACATTATAAACCCACAGATCCACAAAGCACAATGAACTTCAAGCAAAAGGAACATGAAGAAAACTGTGCTAAGGTACATTATCATCCAACTGCTAAAAACCAGCTAGAGAAAAATGACACATTAGGCACCTGACAGCATATTTCTTATAGGAAAAAATGCAAGCAGAACGACAGTGGAGCCACATTTTTTAAATATTGAAAGTAAAAACCACCACCACCACCACCACCTGTCAAGTTAGAATTCTATACCCAACAAAAAGATATTTCAAAAACGTGAAAGATACTTTCAGACCAAAAGCAGAAAGTATTCATCATCAGCAAGCCTGCACTTGTACAAGATATCCAAAAAAACTTCAAATAGAATACCAGATGGATAAATGGATCTACATAGAGGAACAAAGAGCTCCAGAAATGGTTAACTAGTGGAGTAATATATGATTTTTATTTAAATCTCTTTAGTAGAGAATGTTTAAAAAACCAATGCAATGGAGCTTTTACATATATGAATGTAAACTGTGTAATAGCACAGCCTCAAGCAAGTCTGGCCAGGATGTGGGAGGGAAAGTAAAATATATCAGGAACTAAAACTTGACTATAGCTGGAGGTAGTTTCTCAAAAATTACAAGAAATATCATGTACAACTGTCTATTGATTAATTTGGAAAGATAAAGAAAATAGTTGCTTTTTTAAAGGTATAAATTACTCAAATTGATTGCCGAGAAAGTAGAAAACATGAATAGTTTCCCTTATGGCTAATAAGAGAAAATAGAGGAAAAAATCAATTGCCTCTAAGACTTAGTTTTTTAAGTTCAACAAGTCCTAAACTAACAGATATTTCCTGTATTATTCAATTTTCTTTCCAGGGCATAGAAAAAGGAAAAAAAAAAAAAAAGAGGTAAGCTGATTACCAACTCCTATAAGACTAGCAGAATTCTAATTCCCAAACCAAATAAGATAATATTTTAAGGAAAACCTCATGAATATCCAAATCTTAACATTTCTGAAGAATATAATTCTAGACTGTTATTAAAGGCACAATAATATAGAGTTTTTATAACAGAATGCAATGATGGTTCAGGATTAGGAAACGGCCAAAAAAAAAAAAAAACTATATTGAGGCCTCCTTTTTTTATTCAATTATTTGACAAATGTTCCTTCACTTATTCATCAAAAATTTACCAAGTATTACTGTAGTGCCAGGCACTGGATACTGGGAATTCAGTGGTAAGATATGGCTTCTGCCTTCATGGAGCTACCTGGAGATACAGATAAGAAAATTGTAATGCACTAGAAGGCTATGGTAAGAGAAATATAGGGTAGTATTATAATGCATAAATTGGCACATTTGAATGCTGTTGGAATAATAAATCCTGTTGAGAATGATTGCTCCTTCTAGGATGATGGCAGTTAGCATGAGGAAATACGAACCTACACAGGATGACAGCAGTGTCAAAAATGTTGATTTATGCAGTCTTAATATCTTAACATGTGTAAAAGGGTCAAATAAAGGTAAGTTTGGAAAATACTAGGTTGAGCATAAAGATTTCGTTACTGCAGTAGTCAGGTTTATAGTGTTGCTAAGAGCCACCCCATGTCAGGTAGTACACATTTACTGAAAACTTAGAGAACGCTTATTCTGCAGAACACCTTGTGAGAGTGGTGGTTCATGGAACACACAGGGAGAAGCTGTGCTCCACAAAAGCACCTCTTCCTTTCTACTGCAGCTCTCAAACCTAGGTGAATTATCTCACCAGCTATATTCAATTTGTTGAGGCTGTCTTGTTTGATCCCTTTACACAGTACATTTATTAGTTTGGTTACTTTCAACAGGGTGAGATTGAAGTGAAAAAGATTCATTGGAACCTCACAAGAGTGTGCCCCAAGTCATTAAAAAAATAAAAGATGATTCTGAACCAGGAATTCCTATGAATCAGTATGAAAAGATCCAACCCACATAAATTGCAATAGAGCAGAATTAATCTTTGTGAATCTCTAGAAAAGCCACCAAATAAATATAAAGTAAGATACCTGAGAACAAGCTCATTAGAAACAAATCAAATCCTTCTACTATTAAACTGCTAAAGCAAACAGAAACTTCTGATCCTAATGCTCTCCCTGCTGAGTAAATGGCTCCATTTACCTAAAAAAATGCATGCATTTAAAAACAGGGAAGGCCTGAGAGTACATGAACTCCTAGAAACCAAAGACAGTAACTAGTTCATAATGCTCAGAACTATAATCCATGTCACTGAAAATCTGATTCTAAATATTAAGTTTGATATGTACAAAAGGAGTATTTCAGGATGCTCTAGGAAGGGACATTCTTGACAACTGACAATCCCTGAAAAGATGTGACTAATTTTATATACAATGTCTCTAAAGTTAGTGACGTCAAAAAAATAAGGCACACTTCATTTTATGTTTTCAATATATTAAAAAGCAACAGAGTACAAATGCTGTAGTTAATACTAAAAAGGATCCAAATTTTTCAAGGAATGATTTTTTTTATAAACAAGTTCTACAACAAAAGGAAAACTGCATCTTGATACACAAAAGTTCTGTTAAACAAGATTTTAAAATTTTTAAGTCAGAAAATGTTTAAGACTAAATTCTTTCAAATGCTCAAACCAAAAAACAACCTGTACAAGCTTCATAATAAAATGTATCCTTGTACACATGTCCTGGGCACTTTGAAAATGTTAACATTTTTAAAATGTGAGTGATAGAGGCAGCACTTAACGGCTTCATGAACCTTTTTTTCCCCTCAAAAAAGCATACTTTCAGTAAAACATTTTACCATTTTTAATCCAACTACGCATTTACATTTGTGTTCTTCCTGACAAGGGGGATTTATATTAACACTGTATTTTTAATGTAAAAAAATACATTTAGAAATATTTAACTTCCTGAGTGACTTTAGTTATACATCAAAATGATTTAATGAGCAAATTCTAAAATTTTAGAATGAGATAGCATATATAAATTTACAATTTTATGTTCACTTAGAGTAAAACTCAAAAGACCATGTCACAGAACTTACACTAAAAATTCTCTACCTCCAGTATGATTTATCCCCAAACTTTACCAATAAGCTTTCTAAGTAAACTGTATCACTGAAATTACATTTTCTTATTAACAAAATACTGATAGTCATTTCAGACTACCGAACTCGAATGTTTTCTATTATACACACCAAAATCTGATTCACTAACAAGAAACTTCTTGCAATACAAAAAGATAACAGATAATTAAAATATTTGCTTTATAATACAACTAATATAATACATCCCTTCCTCAAGTGTCTAAAATGATTAGGAATTGTGGCACTTTCTTTTGCATAAAACCCTTTCCTCTTCATAAAACCCTGAGGTGAAAGGTTATTAATGTAATAAAATTGGAACCACAACTCTTATTTCTGTATTAGACTAGCTATAGGTTTTAAAAATTTGATAAAGAAAAGTGGCAACTTGTAAAGCTGCTCTGTACAGTTTAACAAAACATTTCCAGGCCAAATGAGCCAAAGGGCCTAGAATGATCCTATAACAACATTGTCCTTTTAATACTTGTTTAGTGTCGAGATGAACGCCATTTTCCATCTCGGTTACTGTCTCTTCTGTTATCATAGTCATGGCTCCAGCCTTCGGGATTTCTATCTTCATAGAAGTAGTCATCTCTGCTTCCTCTGTAATGATGGTCAGACCCATGATCACTGTAACGCTGTTCTCGGCTATAATGTCTATCTGGTATATAGGGATGAGAATTCTGTCTGCCTTTACGCTGTGATGATGGTGTATCTTGGCGCCACTGGGAGCTTGAAGACTGGTTGAAACTGTGACTATGTGATGGGGAAAATCCTGATGGATCCAGGTGTGGAGAACCAAATTTCCCACCATAGGACATCTGTCTCAAAACACTGTTCATCTGAATGAAGGGAAAAAGAAGGAAATGTTAACTGCAAATATTTCTAGGACTCAAAGTCAATATATACTTAGTCACAGTGAACCAAACAGATAATGATGGAAAAGCAAAACTACTCTTGCCCAGATGGATCTTAGGTTGAATAGAACTTGAAGTAGAAAAATACACTGGCTTTGTTCATTACAATGTATACCTCTAAGATATTTGTACATAACTACTACTCCTTGCCCTCAAGAATATAACTTAGAGCCGAAGTGATCACATAAATGATTACAATGTAAATCATTGTCTGATGACACATAAAGAGCCAGGAGCTCAGTATCACTAGGAAAGGCTTCATGAAGGTAGCATGTTATCTAAGTATTAAAAGTTTGGATAGACTATTTTGAGGAAGAATTATAACCAAGGAAGGGAAATCGCACAAATATAACAAGGAAATAGAATGCGTTCATAGAATAGCAAGAATTCTAATTACAGATCTCATAAGCAGTGGATAATGGACAGATAGGCTGGAAAGCTTTATTGGCATCAGATGATGGGAGCACCTCATAACTAGGCTAGAGAATTCAGACTTCACCTTGCAAATGATGGAAAGTCAAATTACCAGGAATATAAGCGAAATAGGGTTGTAATATTCATTTTGAAACCGTGTGTGAGATGGGCTAGCAAGGAGAAAACAGAGACATGTACGAACTGACTAGACCAGTGGTCCCCAAATTCTGCTCATGGATAGGTATTAGCCAGTGACAATTTTTTTAAATAGCCTACAGAAAAATATGTTATATGTATGTAAAACTGATATCCCTTTATATTGCTCTCTCAATTTTACTTTATTTCACTCTCACATTTTTATTTTGCAGACCTTCAAAAGACTGAGGGGTCACAAGGCAAGACTGATTTGAGCAAAAAAAAGAAGAAATGAATTCAAGAAAAAAAGGAAAGTGACAAAATAAAAAAAGTGAGAGACTGGAGATAGACATGGAACAGTAAAACACACCAAAAATTTTAAGCCTAGTTGCACAGTCTCATATTACAGAAAAAAATGGAAATCAAGAGAAAACTGGTCAAAGACTCCAATATATTCAAGTACCATTATAACCATTAAAGAGAGTGTATGGTAAGAAGCCCTTCAGCATAGGCTGCAAGAATATCAGAGAATAAATTTCCAATCTTTAAAGCACACACAACAGCTGAAGAAAAATACAAATGTGAAATGCAGTTCTTTTATTTATCTTCAATCTGTTAAATATGCATTTCACCCCAGTGAAAACCAAAATGAGTTATCAACCTACAAAGATCATGCTAGTTTAACTAAGACTTAGGACATTACTTAAGAAGGATGTGAACATTTTTTAAAACATTTCTTTATTTGAGAGAGAGTGCATGCATGTGCAAGTGGAAGGACAGAGAGAGAGGGGGGAATCTGAAGCAGACTCCCCACTGAGCACAGAGCCCAACATAGGGCTCAGTCTCACAATTGCAAGATCATGACCTGAGCCAAAACCAAGAGTCAGATGCTTAACCAACTGAGCCACCCATCTGAACATTCTAGGTTTGGGGGTTTTTTGGTTTTTGGGGTTTTTTTTAGCAACTCAAGTGGAAGACAGCTGAGTTCTGATAAACATTTTTGGGCAGTCTCTATAGATATTATTTAAATTATAAGTGACCTTTAGACTCAACAAATATGTCTCAAGCAGTATATCTGAGTTTATTTAAAGTGGAAAATAAATGAGTGACAAATTTTATTTTCCAGCTGTAAGAAAGACGTAAGTTCATTGCATGATGTTTTAATTGGCTGGTAAAAATTTAGACTGGGTGTTCCAAGAACTAACGTTTCAGTAAGAGTTTAACGTATCAAAAGGTGACTATTTTTGAGAAGCTGATATTATAATCCACCAAGTACATAAATTACTGGTAAAAGCAATTATGAACTTCTGCTTTTGTCTTTGTAAGACAAGGACTTCTCGTGACGAATTTTAAAACTTCATAAACTGAGCTGTATTTGCAAGTGTACATTGTATGCTACTGCGCTGCATAGTTAGCATATATAGCTTTGTGGTTTTTTTGAAATGTGATATTTTATTCAATTACCTAATTATGACTTTCTGGGTTTTCTATTTTTTTTATTGTGCTGCTCTTTCTCATTAAATTTTCTGTGTAGCAGTTCAAAGCATGGTTTCAAATTTTGGCAGGCTGCACTTGTAATTTCAGTTCTACCACTTGCTAATTTTATGACCTTCCAAATCCTCAATTTTCGTATTGCTATATATTATAATAGTGCATATATCCCTATTACCCTTAAGAATAAATAATGTAACATATATAACACTTTGAGGTGATATTGCCTGACATATACCATATATTCAAAACATTGTAACTACTTTTATTTTTGTAAGGGTTTCATCTCTCTGTGTGTGTATGTGTGAGCGCTACTTAAAGGCTTAGTCTAGACATTTGGTTAACCCTAGTTCTAGTACAAGGAGATGCTAATCAATGTCTACTTTGTTTTAAATTCAACAATTTGGGAATTTATTCCTCATGAAGCATTTTAGGTAATACTTTACAAATTACTCTATATATGGAAGATTGCACCGGTATTTTTCATGGTTACTAAGAGGATAGTTTGTACCTTTAAAAACAGCACAATACATTTGCTCATTTTTTTCTTTAATAAAGGAATTATTTATTTTTAAAAAGAGAGAAAAGAAAAAAAAAGAAAAGAAAAATCAACCTACCACTGCTTGTCTCTGAAAATTTTCTGGAGAAGAGAAAGATCTCTGAATTATCTGTGCTGATGGAGTCATATTATCCACAGTCCTTTCATACCTATGAAAAATAAGAAAACCAACAAATAATCATTCATTTAACAAATATTTACTCCATACCAATCATGAGCAAGACACAGTCTCAAAGGTAAGAATGAACAAAAAAGACAAAGTATCGCTCTCATGGATGAAGATTCAGATAGTAAAATAATTTTACCTTATAACAACTGATATACTGAATAGTCCACTAAAAAGCAAGTAAGATGAGCGGGACAGGGGTTCTATTTTAGCTCTGGCTGTCTGGTCGGGGATTATCTTTCTACAAAGGAGGCACATTTGAAGTGAAAACTGAGTAACAAGATTACCTGGAGGCAAAACATTTCAGCTGAGGGAAGAACTAGCACAGGGGTGAGCAAGCTATATAGCCTGTGGGCCAAATCCAGTTTTTGTAACATACTCTTGTGTCTGTTTCATCTGTGTGGTATTACAATGACAGAGGAAAAAAAAAAAAATGTCCTCCCAAGTCTGAAACATTACCCATCTGGCTCTTCTTAGGAAAAAAAAAACCTATCAATCCAGGACTAGTGCAGAGGCCTATGTTGAAAACTAAAATGAAAAGGATTTGATCGATTAGACATGACAGATGAGGGAAAAAGAAAAATAAAGGGCCAAATCTAGATTTTTAGCTTGAGCAATTATGTAGACATTTACTTTGAAAGGGAAGAGGAACAGGTCTGGGGGAGCAAGAAATTAAGAGTTCTGTAACACAAAAAGGATATTAATTTTTAAGGAATTCTAACTTATTCCTCAATTCCTACAAAGGTAGCTTGCTCTATAGAAAAATTCACCTTAACAAGTGTTTTAATTTCATTTTATTTTAAAATACTTATAATCAAAATCACTAATTGATTGGTCTCAAGATTTGTATCTTCCCATTTTGGGTTTTCTTAAATCAGATTAGACATCTATATGTTAAAGGGGCAAAAACTATAAATTTTCCTTCTAAGAAAACAATAATGCACATTCTTAGCCTTATATTAAAAAAGAAAAAATATTTTCTTGTATATATTTTTCCAAAGAAATTCCCAGAGGTAAACTCTTTTTTCCTCCAGCTGAGGTACCTTTAAGGTGTCTACAAAAGTGGTTTGACATGCTTCAAGTCCCAAATGCAATGAGAAGTATTCAAATACAATTTCAGTTGGCAACAAAGGTTAATAAGGTGGTACTCTTTTTACACTATTCTTTTTTGCAATTTTACTTTCCAGTTATCTTTTCATATTGAAGCCAGTTCACTTCAGTTCCTGGCACCACCCTAATCCAAATCAACAACCTCACCCCTGAAACTTCCTTGTGTCTTGCTACTAATACCAATACTTTGCTACCAATAACTTCCTAACTGGTCTATTTTCAGCCTTGTCCTCTCCAATCCATTCTCCCACAGCAACCAAACAATTTGATAAAATACAAACCTGGTCCTGCTAGTATCCTACTGAAAACATTTCAAATGTCTTTCTACTATTTTTAGGAGGAAATTCCCAGATCCTAAATATAGCCTGTAAGAAAGACCTTTCTACTTTATCAACATCATCTACTACTCTCCGTTTTTTTTTTCCTTCATTATGACCTAGACACACTGGCCTCTTTTAGTTCCTCATTCATTTATATCATCCCTCCTTGTTAAACCTTTCTCCAAGCACATTTTATGCTTTCTTTAGAGAACTTATTAAACAGGTAGTCACAAAATATATACATGTCTTCCTATAGACGGTTAAGCTTCACTAAGGCAACCTATTACAGTGGCTGAGGTTCAGTCACAATGCCTGGGTTTCAATCCCAACCCACTGCTCATGAGCAGTTCAACCATGGGCAAGTTAATGTCCAATCCTCACTTTCTTCGCATACAAGATGGAACTAACAATAACCCCTACACCTCCTAAGACTGATGTGAGAAATAAGACCATAAAGGCAAAGGACCTGGTGAAGAACCTAACATGTGACAGATTATTTGTTGACTCTTTCTTGAATAAGCCCATTATGACTGGTAAGAAGCTCTACGAAGAAACCAGGAAAAAAAAAATATCTCTCATAAAATACCAGCCTTCCCAAAGTAAACAAAACTATTCAATATAAACATGGTACTTTTTCTAACCCTTAGTAGCTGGAAGAGACCATGGAGTGTGTTTAACTCAGCTTTTCCTTACAAATGGAAGGACAGGATCAGAGAAATGAGACTTCAAGATTATGCAATCAAAGAGGCAGACCTAGAATCCAACACTATAAACTTAGTCCACTAGTCTGTTTACCTATAGATATTTTTAAACTGCAAATAACAACCAGTTAGTGGTCAAAACTAATTCGAGTTAAAAAAAATAAAATAGAATATAGAGTACTGAAAGTAGAGAGCTTAAAGAATGTTCTGGGAAATTGTGTTTCAGTTACATACTAAAATATGAGGCTGCGGGCATAAGTCTTCACAAATGAACATAATTATAGATACATACATATCTACCTTAGGGGTACTATACATGTCTATAGTCCCCTTAAAATAGATACCTAATTAGAATCCAAAATACAAATAATATAAAAGAATAAAGAAGCAGAAGCTTTAAAAAGGAAACAGATCACTGAGTATGTTTTGAGACTACTTAAAAAATAAAAATTCCAATAAATGATTTTAATAACAGGTACAAAATATTACCTGCTGGGAGATGTAGAGGTAGGGCTTGAGTTTCCAAGATGATGCTGGGGATACAACAAATTGACATCCTGTGAGGCATGGCTACTTCCTAAAATGAAGTAATTTGAGAAATTATTCTTTTTTTAAACTTATCTGAGAGAGAGAGAGAGAGAATGAGCAGAAGGAAGGGCAGAGGGAAAAGCACTCCCTGCTGAGTAGGAAGCTTGATGCAGAACTTGATCCCAGAACCTTGAGATCATGACCTGAGCTGAAGGCATACGCTGAACTAAATGAGCCACCCGGGCGTTCCAAGAAATTTTCCTTGATAGAAAACTTAAGTTGAAATTTTATCCCTCCTATCCCAAATCTTGCCAAAGAGGTAGAAAGAAGCTACAAGAGAAAACATCAAATTTCAGTAAACCGCTTTACTGTTTCAGAGTAAAACTGTAAATGTTTGATACCAGATGTACGTAAAACAGAGAGTTCCAAATAAGCACTATCCAAACAGATAAATATCCAACCTGGCCATAATATTATGATCCCCACACTAAATTTTAACTGCATACGTGGAAAGTTTCATGTTCCCATAATCTAGAATCTAAATTTGTAAATGTAAATCACAGAGCAACCAAGAAAAGTATTTTTAGAAAACAATCCTTGCGTCCTTCAGGGCATGAACTCAAACCCGTCTTTCCAACGACAAAGTTTATGTTCTTTTCCGTAACCTCAACTCAATTTTAAAATGATGACTTTAAAAATCTATAGTCAATGTGACCTACTTTCAGGGACATACAAAGCTTAGTATCCACAAATCTTAAGGTATTTTCATCCAACAAAACTGAATCATAAAATTAAGAACAAAGCTGCGAAAAACCCTTCTCCCCCCAAAAAACACTGAACAGTTACCTGATCTAAACTGAATTTTGATGGGCCTCCCAAAAAGTTTGATTCCATTAAGTAGGTTCATCGCATAAGGAACAGACACTTCGTGCTTGAAATTCACAAATGCAAACTGCTTTGGTTTACCATCCTTATCTTTGGGGATTTTCACTTTTACTACAGGCCCAGCCTACAGACAAAAAAAAAAAAAAAGAGAGAGAGAGAGAGAGAGAGAGAAGAAAAAGTGTTTGGAAATTAAGTAAGGCAATTTCAAAAAAAAAAAAATTCACATTTTAGGACGTTTAGACACCGGAATGTCTAAATGGAACCAGGAAAAGTCTAAAAAGGAGACACCCAGGGGAATTCCACCTGTTAAAGATCCTACAAATATGACTGGCCGCTTGATTAATTTATCTGGAGAAGGAAGCCCTTAAGGAACTGGAAACAGCCCCTCAGTTTACATTTCACAGCGCTTTATGACTTTTTAGCAAGGCGACCAACACCCATCATTTTCCCACTCCAGGGCACGTTTATCCAGGGGTAGAAAAACTGGTTTTCTTAGGCTAAAAAGAAAATAATTCACCTTTGCATCGATTCACCAAATATTACCAGCTGTCAGAGTAGAGATCTGGCGGAAACGAGATACTCTGAATTATTCTTTTTCAGGCTGATTTTAATGCAGAGACACAAGCCTGCTCTACAGAATAGAGTCTTTTTTTTTTTTTTAGAGTCTATTTTAAATTTAAAGTTAAAAAAAAAGCATTCGGGGGTGGTGCCTGCATGGGGGGGGTGAGCCTGCACCCCTGGGGGAGGTGCTTGCATGGGGGGGGGAGGCCTGCATCCCTGGGGGTGCCTGCATCCCGGGGGCCTCCACCGCCACCACCCCCCGAGCGAACTGACCGGGGTTCTGCCCTGAAAGCGGCCCCAGCGAGCGCCTCAGTTTCCCGGCGCCCCCTCCGCCGAGTCGGCCCTCCCGGCGGGCGCCCGGACCCGCAGCCCCGCCTCCCCCAGGAAGGCGGGCAAGGAAGGCGGGCAAGGAAGGCGGGCAAGGCCGTCGGGCCGGGCCGTCCGGGGACTCCCAAAGCGGAAGGGAAAAGCGTGCGGTCGTCCGCTCACCTGGTGGAAAAGCTCGAAGAGGAGCTCCTCGGTCACCTTCGTCTCCAGGTTGCCCACAAAGAGCGTGCGGTCCGCCTCTGCCGCCGCCGCCCCCATGTCAGCGTCGCCCCCTCCCGCACGAGGCCGAAGGGTCGCCGCCGGCGCACTCACTGCGCACTCTCGGAAACCCCACGTCCTCGCCCTCCCGGGCGTCGTCGACGTAAGCGTCAACCACGCTCGCCCCAGGCCGGCGTCGACGCGCGCCGACGTGCTGCGCAGGCGCAGGCGCAGGCGCAGGCGCAGGCGCAGGCGCATGCGCGCGAGGAGAGCGCCGGCGAGAGGCGGCTCCTCGCTCGGCCGCGGCTCCGGTTAGGGCCGCGTTGGTGGGCGGTGGCGGCGTCCGAGACGGGCTGGACCGAAGCGGGCAGCCGCGAGGGAGCCGCCGTGACCGAGGGACGTAACAAGCCCTGCGGGCAGCGTTCGAAGATGGCCGTGAACTTCGTGTCCCTGTCGGCCGGCGACCAAAGGAGCAGGGTGGCCTCCCGCGCGCCCCCGGGCGACCTCAGCCCGTCCGCCGCGGCGCTGGCGCTGGCGCTGGCCTCCGGAGACGGCTTCCTCGTCGCCGCGCCCGAGGCGAGGCTCCCGGGGCCCGTTCCTCGGCAGGCGGGGCGGCCGAGCGTGCGCCCCGAGAGCCCGGCGCGCCCTCTAAAGGGTCGGGACCCTGACGGGCGGGCCCGGAGCCGCCAGACCCGAGGCGCGCCGTACCGGATCCCGGCCGTGAAGCCGCACCTGCTGCGGCCCGCCTCCCGGCCTGATGCGACACCCCCCCCCCCGCCCCCGGAGCCGCGCCTACAAGGCCTCCCGAACCCTCCCCCGGTGCCTCGGCAGCCTTCTCTTCAGAGGGAAACACGCAGGGGCCCTGTTACTGACGGCTTGGCGCAGAGGAAGCCCTTACTTCCTGCCCCGTGCCGCTGGTTGAGGCGGCCTGGGTGATGAGATCAGGAAGGAGGGAGAAGAGATTTTTCTCCTGCTTAGTCACAAGGCTGAGCCGCCCTCCCCAGAGGCCAGCGGGCGTTGGTTGGTTGGTTGGTTTGTTCACCCTTGGTGCGCCGCCTCCCGACCGCGGGGCCGCTTCCCCGCTTCCCACACCTCTGACCCCCACCCTGGCCGACGCTCCTGCTTTGAGACTCGTAATCGGAGCTTCCTGAACTGCCCACTTCTACCCCAGACCGTTCTCACTAGGTTCACTTTTATTGGTGAAAAGGAAATGCTTCCTTCTACTCCCCTGGCCTATCCTTCCATGTGGCCTAAGGCTTGTGCCATCATCTTGCCTTTAAGGCTTTTCCACCGCCCTCCCATTTTTTTCTTCGATAATATTTTATACGACTCCAATCGCAATCCTACCAGAAGTCAAAAGCAAACCTAAACCTTGCTGCTGCCTTTTTTTTTTTTTTTAAGATTTTTACTTATTTATTCACGAGAAACAGAGAGGCAGGGACACAGGCAGAGGGAGAAGCAGGCTCCATGCAAGGAGCCCGATGTGGGACTCGATCCTGGATCCCGGGATCACGCCCTGGGCCAAGGGCAGATGCTCAACCGCTGAGCCACCCAGGCGTCCCAACCTTGCTGCTGCTTCACATTATCAAAGCAATTTCACTTTTTTTTTCCCCCCCAAAGCCTCCAAATGAATTTTACATTTCTACTTGTCATTTCATTATTAGCATTCAATCCCAGTTTCCTTAGTCTGCTGTCCCAAAATACAATGGTGGATACTTTGGCTTCACAGTCTCCTGTTAGGAAGCTGTTCATCTGCTCACTTTGGCATCTTCCTCCAACGTTCTTGTTTATCTTTACTCATTCAGCCATTCAGCAATATTTGAAGATCTTCCCAACGGTGAGCACCGTGGATAAATTACAGTTAAGGACTGTATTCTAGGTAGGCAGGCTAATCAGTAGGTGATCACCACAGACTGTTAATTAGGGGCAGTGATGATAAATACTGGTTGCGAAGGCTTTCCACAATACTGTGCTATCCTAGTTCTTCTCTTACCTCACTCTTCCCCCCCCCCCTTATTTTCTGATATTTTTATTCTCCTAACTATATGTTTCCTAAGGTTAAAAGGGTGGTATTGGGAGAAAGTGGATTTTTTAAGTGCCAGTTCTATGTAAGCAGGTAGACTAGCTTTTTCCCAGGGGACTCTTATCTATAATTATGATCAGATAAAGCAGAATCACCACATACCATGCAGTATTGAATTTTTAGAACCACTTCTGAAGAAGAATGTTGGTAAATCAGAGAGCATCCATAAGAGAGTGATTGATATGATGAGAAATCTGGAAACCAGGTCATAGGAAAAATGGTTGAAAGGATAATAGCTATGTTGTATTGAATGCTATGTGTAAGGCAATGTGGTAAGAGCTTTTATTCACTATTCAGATACTTACTGAGAACTTACTCTGTGCCTGATATTACCTGTATTAGGCATTTAGAATAAAGTGAACAAGATCAATAATAATGTCTCTGGTGGAGCTTATATATGTCATTTAATTCTCACTATGGCCCATTAGAGAGTATCAAACTTCATTCTATTGCTCAGAAACCAAAGCACAAAAAGATGAAGTAAACTCTTCAAGGTCATACAACTAGTAAATAACAGCCTTGCAACCCAGTTCCCTCATTTGAACCATGTAATTTGGGTAACTATTTTCTCAATTCTCCCAAGGACATCACATATCTAAAAGACTCAAGTGATGGATGCCTTGGACTGGGCATTACAAAAACCTGTAGTTGAGAAAGGAACCCCAAATCTCTATGTTATGAGTTTTAGACTGGGAAGAATAATAAAATTAAGGCTGAAGGTAAGAAGGGATTTCATAAAACTTAAAGATGCCTAATAGTGAAAAATAACACCTCACAAGGTAACATAAGTTCAGCCAAAAAACTCAGATACAGGGATCCCTGGGTGGCACAGCGCTTTGGCGCCTGCCTTTGGCCCGGGGCGCGATCCTGGAGACCCAGGATCGAATCCCACATCGGGCTCCCAGTGCATGGAGCCTGCTTCTCCCACTGCCTGTGTCTCTGCCTCTCTCTCTCTCTCTCTCTCTCTGTGTGACTATCATAAATAAAATAAAAATTAAAAAAAAACTCAGATACAGGCTGAATTCTATCAAATATGAAATAGATGTTCTCTCAGACCTTCTATTTAACCTATAATCCTGTACTTAAAAAAAATTAACTTATGGAAACTTGCTCATTGGAAATGGAGAACAAGAAAATGAGGTGACTGTACTTACTGTACAAATCAGAACACTTGAGAGAGGGAGAGGGTGCTATCAATTATGCTGAGGTATAAACAGGCTGTTCCAGCGCATCTAACCCTAGGAGATGATGATACAGCATTAAATATGTCTTTAAAACCTATTTCTTAGCTTCGGGGAAAGGCTAAGATTTGTGAATGAAGAAACAAAAAGTCTGACATAAAAGTGCACATGAGAAAAGGAAGACCCAAAGGGAGTGACTTCGTTTCTGTTTAACTGTTGAGATCATCAGGAGTAGGGCTTTGATTGAATAATAGTATATATGTGCCAGAAGGGGGCGGGGGAGAAAATAGTGTAGTTAATTGTGCTGTGTGTGACAGGAGGAGAACCTTGTTCACATAAATGTTCCATCATTTTAAGTCTGAGCCAATGAATATCAAAATTCTCCTTATTCTTAGCATCTATAGTAGTGTCCAATGTGTTCCTAGAGTCACAAAGACAGTATCATGGAAGCAAGAACCAACATAAACCTCTATCAATGAAATTACCTTGAAGCAGGGACAAAGTTTTCCCAAGAGCAGTCCATGTCATTAAAAATGTTAGTGTACAGGGACACCTGGGTGGCTCAGCGGTTGAGCGTCTGCCATTTGCCATTGGCCAAGGGCGTGATCCTGGAGACCTGGCATTGAGTCCCACATCGGGCTCCCTGCATGGAACCTGCTTCTCCCTCTGCCTGTGTCTCTGCCTCTCTCTCTGTGTGTCTCTCATGAATAAATAAAATCTTTAAAAAAATGTTAGTGTACAAAATGAATTTTTATTTAATATCAGTGGCTAAGTTAGCATTTTGTCATTCTAAAATAGATGCATTTTTCTAAGAGTAATACAGAAAATAGTCCAAAAAAATCAAACGTAAGTTTTTAAAAAGCAATTGTAAGTTCCTGTTTGTTTATAGTCCTGTATTTATTATGTCATACTAAGTAACGTGTTGAAGTCCTATTAGAATATTTGCTTTCTCTATTCTTCAGCACTAAAACTCTTAAAAAGAATGCCCATTAGGGATATAGAAAAGGAGGCCAAGGAGACTTTTCCCTCAGTATCAGGATTTCATGATAAACCTTACCTCTAAGAGGGGTACCTGGAAAGGAAAAGAAAGGAGGGAGGAAAGTCCTACAGGAAAAAGGATGAATAAGTGACCTAATGATGGTCAGAAGGCTCTGCTGTCTTGAGAGCAAAATTGGTTGTCTTTGATTCCTTCAGTGAATCTATCCAGATCCCACTAAGTTACAGCTTAGTCTACCAATTTCTGTGAAAAGTACTCTCATTTTCCTATCAACCAAATGTATGAATACCTAGGACTTAATACCACCTATTTCCTGTCCTTATTACTATGATCATTCAAATGCAAAGTCCTGCCCATTTTATCTTCACAATGTATGCTTTTATAATCACTTTCATCACCTGGATTTTATTTACCTGGGTATTTAACCTGTTTTCTTTGCCTGTCTCTCAACTTCATCCTAAATGTAGATAGTCTCCAGACCGATGAGCCTAAAGCATATCTCTTATCACATAGTTACTACTTCAGTTTTTCCCATGGTATATTTCACAAAACCTCCCCTGGAAATATACTTCTTGTAGGAAACAAACAGGGGGTTCCTGGAGGGAGGGGGTGAGTAGGGGAATGGGGTGATTGGGTGATGGGCATTAAGGAGGGCACTTGGAATGAGCACTGGGTATTATATGCAAATGATCAATCACTAGATTCTACCTCTGAAACTAATAATACAGTATATGTTAATTAAATCTAATTTAAATTTTAAAATAATATAGATACTTCTTTTCAAAAAGACAGAAGACCAATAAATTTGACAAGTGGCGCATGTCACCTTGTTAGGGAGTCATATAATAATATGTTAAATGTTTGATAATTCCTTTAGAAAAATAAAGCTGTTTAATTTCATTTTCTCCAGTATTTTACAAATGTATTTGTCCATAAATTTAAATTTTTTGCATACTACCTCTCTCTCTGAGGAGCCTCAGTTCTACAGAAACATAATTCTATATGCTACCTTACCTAAGAAGTTTCATTGGCTCCCCAAGCCAGGTATTAGGAGTATGTAATGTAGCAGAATTTGGTAAGTTTCCAAAATGTTATTAGGCAAATTGGTTGGTTTCCTCACTTATGGTTCAAAAAAAAGATTCCATCCCATCTTTATTCCATGTGATGACTGGTACCCATCATTGTGAGTGGGTAGAAGGAGGGAGGCAAGCATGCAGCTGCAGATTCCCTCGCCACTGATGATCGAGATTGGTATTGTTACTGGGGAAAAGCATTAGAAACATCCCCCCGATGAAGACAGGCAGGTGCAGTCATTTCATAAGTATGCTAATAATGTAATATGTATTTTTTTAATGTAATGATTTACTTGGCTGTTAACATCACTGGAATATCTGAAGGCAGCCCTTCTTCAAAATACACTTCTAAATCAGAGGACAAAAATACTGCCTTCAGCTGCCCAAAGACCTGAGAGTAACTGAAACAATGCAGCTCTTAAAAATTGCAGACTCCATAAACAGACTTCTAAGACTTTCCAAAATCTGACCACACCAGCCTTCTTATTCATAAGGCGCCCAGGCGGTCACTGCTCTTTCCTGCAGCGATGCCTATGCCTATTCTGGTCCCCTTAACTAAATTCTTTGTGCAGCTCATCTTCTGTCAGTTAAACTTTTATCCATCCAGATTGGTCCAGTTTCTGTACATTAGAAAGGACACACCCTTTTAATCAGGTTAAGCAAAAAATGGACTCAGAGAGCTGGAAAAGTGTGGTGAACGTTGGATGTTCTTTCTACCCAACAACTATCTATCCTCCATCTAACAGCACCTTGGTTTTTCTTTACCTTGGAGCCCCCTCCCTCTTCCTCCATTCATGTATTTGGGGAGAAGCATAGATTTATAATCCATGTCTTATCTCCTCTACTACATTGAAGCTCCCTGAGAGCAGACAACATGTCTAAATTTATTTTTATGTTTATTTGTACCTATTACCCAAAGAGTAGATATTTAATGAATGCCTGTTAACATGAATGAATGAACCTCACATAAGCTATCTCTCCCTTGGAATCAAAATCCAAAAGTAGAACATTCTAGGAAGGCAAGGGCAAAAATTG